AAGGAGATGTCAATCAAGAAAGCTAGTGTGGTTTTTAACGTTCCGAGAACCAGCATACACTCACGATTGAAGCGACAGGGGCAGAAGCCGGTTCTAAACCTAGGCAGGTTCAAACCCGTGTTCAGTAAAAAAATTAAAATGGATTTGAGTGAACATATAATACACTTAGAGAAGCTATTCTATGGACTCTCAACGGCAGATCTTCGACGGATTGCATTTCAGTTTGCTGAAGTTAACCAAATCAATCATCCGTTCAATAAAGATCGGAAGCTGGCAGGAAAAGACTGGATGATATCATTTTTAAAGCGTCAAGAAACCTCTCTATTAAAAGACCTGAAGCAACAAGCATTGCGAGAGTGACAGGATTTTCCAAACACACAGTCAATGAGTTTTTTAAAAATTTAAAAGAGCTCTTGGACAAGTACAATTTCCCTTCGTATCACATATTTAACTGTGATGAGACAGGGATTACCTACGTTCAAAAACCAGGAAAAATAGTAGCGGAAAAAGGAAGAAAGCAAGTGGGAAGATTAACTTTATTGGAAAGAGGAGAAATACTACATTACTAGCATGTGTTAGTGCCACGGGCACATTCATTCCACCATTTATGGTCTTCCCTCGTGTAAGAATGAACCCAACCTTGTTAAATGGTGCGTTTCCTGGAACAGTAGGATTCCCTGCTCAATCCGGATGGATGGATGACGACCTATTTGTTAAATTTTTAAATCATTTTATAGACTCTACACAAATAACCAAAGAATTTCCGAGCCTACTGATACTAGACGGTCATTCAAGTCACAAGTCCATTGAATCAATAACCCTGGCTAGAAATTCTGGAGTTTCTGATTTGACGTTACCACCTCATACTTCGAATAGGCTACAGCTTCGTGATGTAAGCGTATTTGGGCCCTTCAAAACCTACCTAGCAAGAGAAATGGACCACTGGCTGACAAATCACCCTGGCTCTAGAATCACCGAATATGACATGGCTCCTATTATAAAAAACGCCCTTATTAAAGCATTTACACCAATAAATATTATGAAGGGTTTTAAAAAAACAGGAATCTTCCCTTATGACCCGGATGTGTTTCAAGAGAGCGACTTTGAGGCGGCCGAGAACATTCTTCAAAAAGAATCAAATCCAGAAAGCGTCAATTCCTTGGTCAATTCCGTAAACTTGGAAGATGTACCTAATTCATAATCGCCTGAAGATGACATCAAAAATAATTCTAACATACTACCAGTTTTAGAGGCAACAGAACAACCGTCATGCAGTTCTGTTTCTATTTCAAATTCAAGTCTCGAAACCATCCCAAGAAAAAAGCAACTCCAAAGTACTTTTAGAACCAGATCAACCTTCATACAGTTCTGTTTCTATTTCAAATTTAAGCCTATCTTGAAACCATATCAAAAGCAAAGCAACTCCAAAACAATTTTAGAACCAGATCAACCGTTATGCAGTTATGTCTTTATCTCAGAATTAAGTCCAATACCAAAACCCTGTCAAGAAAAAAGAAAAATCAAAGCAAAATCCAGAACCACAGAAGGATCCAAAATAATCACCAGCTCACCTTACAAAGATCAACTCGAAGAGAAATTGAAAAATAAATTAAAAACAGTAAAAGCTAAATCAGTCAAAAAGAATTTTAACAAAGCAGGGCCAAGTTCGTGTCTTGAAAATGTGAAATAAAAAGAAAACTGGAGAGAAAAGAAAAAAGGTGCATCGACAAAAGCATCAGCAGCAATGTCAGAGGAAGAGAAAGCCACAATATGCGTTTACTGTCATGAGACAAATGAAGACATTTGTCACGACGAATGGATTATGTGCATAAAATGTGGTGCCTAGATGCATGAGGAGTGTTCAGATAACGAACCGGGTGCTGATAACTATGTTTGTGACAACTGCCAATGATAATTAGTATAAAGACTCACTTGCCCCAAATGGGTGATTCACTTGCCCCATAACTTGGGGCAAGTGAGTCATTTGACAATTTTTTTCCTAAGTCTGACCTTTAATAATAATTAAAACTTTAAATTTTCTTTATTTTTCAAGGTTAGGCTATGATCTAAAGAACTAAAGTTTATTTTTATTCAATACACGTTGTTTCATTTCTACAAGTATAGAAGTTATTGTTTAACCATAAGGTATCTCACTTGCCCCACCGTCTCCTACAATCTAATCATTAAAAACGATCAATGGATAATTTAATTTTAACTTAATCGAGTACGGTTTTAAAACATTTAAAACCAAATTCTTACTGGGATGTTATATAATGAAGTAATATGAATTCGAAATAGAAATCTATGTGAGATTTGAAGGACTTTTCTACACATATTAAATTTCTTTTTTAGGTTTTTACTTCTTACATAATTGTATAAATGGTATTATACGCCTCATTAATGGTTCATTGATGCTAGAACTCGACACTCGAAATGGAACAAGCGGAAAACATAATCCGAATCAAAAAATCGAGCCAACATTAACAAATTCATATGACCTTAGGAGAACTACGAGCTGTGAGACATTCATTCTGACAATTAATGGCAAAATAAAGTCAGAGCGTTAATTAATAATTAACCAGCAAACAACAGAGAGTTGGCGTGGGAAGCGTGTGAATGTTTTATGTGTGCAAGTCGCTCTTGCTAATTTTTGATGATCCTGAACACTGAAACGCTGGGCTGCATCGCATCGGAGACTGTTCTGCGATCGTAATAGTGACTTCCGTTTCATATATTTAATACGGCGATCGAATGTTGTTTGGTTCATAGAAATGATAAAATTTAAAATTTTGGACATATCAGGTTTGTTCCAACACAATAGCAAATCGGTTTACGTACTATGGAGATTCTGCGCGGTCTAGATTTGGTGTTCTTACAAACCTCGGACTCAAAACTTTACAAAAACCTAGTATTCCAACACATTCAGACCTAATGACCTAATGATAAACCAGTTTCTGTACTGTTAAATCAGTTCTTGGGTCTGAATAGGAACGATTAACTCTGGAAATTTTACAATTCGTATTTCATTTGATAGTATTGATCGTAGTCTCGATCTAAGGATTATAATACTATTATCTATCATAATTTGGTTATCATTCATTATCATTAATTATAGTCTATTATTTTATACGTGTTATAATTAAGGAAGACTGGGATACTTACAAATCTCACGACAGAGAATACATAAAAATCGTTATACAAAAACAGAGAGATGCTTGGAGATCCTACTGCGAAGAAATCGAAGATTTTCCGCAGGCAAGATACCATCAAACTTCTGCTGTCAACACACTTCCCTGACTACAAACGTGACTGACTGGGCAGAGGAAAAATACAGTCCATCTGCCAAACACATTCTATACGATGACCAAATTAGATGATAAATATCTAGCGTTTATTCATTTAAATCGCCAGGACCAGAAGACGGTACCTATCCAGCCCTACCTCAATGGGATCCCACTGCATCTGGTAGGTATCATCAGATCCTCGTTGACTCTGAGGTTTATACCCAAGAAATGGAAAGTATTTATACTCACACCTGGAAGGATGGATTAAATTGTCCCAAAAACATACTGACCAATTAGCCTGACATCGTTTTCCATTTTCGACGTGTTTTTCCAATCCTAATGGTAAAAAATTCTCATATGGATCCCACTTTATGGAACATATAGTACAAAAAGATATTCACATTTTTGGATATACTATCGCTCTTAAAATTATTACGGTATACATTTTGTGGACCACCTTGTAAATAAAAATCATAAAAAGCATATTTCCAGTCCTTTTTAGTTTAAAAATAATCCCATATGGATCCAACTTTATGGAACACACTGTACAAACAGATTTTCTAAAGCGATTTTAAAATCGTTTTCTTTCTCACCTTGTTCCTCAGTGGCAGGTTCTTTCGTATTTATTAAAGTGTTTTCCAAAATTTGCACTCTTTTTTGTAAATGATCTAAATCAGTAATTAAATTGGAATTTTCTTCCTTTGCGCTTTCTGATAAATCAACCAAATACTGGATTTCCTCAACAAGACCCGATTCCTTATAAGCTAGATCTGACAAATTCCTATTTATTTTGGCGTTTAATGTATTTAAGCGATTTTCTAAATATTTATGTTCTTCTAAAATAGATATGTTGTTTTTAAGGACGTCAAGAGCATTTTCAACAGTCAAGAGCCTTTCTCCCAAATTTTCTTGGTTTTCTAGTGAAGATAAGTTGTATTTAATACCATTAATACCAATACTATCAATACTATTTCAGCAGTAGATAGTCTGTCTTCCAAATATTGTTGATCTTCTAGTGAAAATACGTTGTTACTAAAACCACTAAGAGCATTTTCAGCAGCTGAAAGCCTATTTTCAAGAGACGAGAGGCTGTTTTTCAAATTTTCTTGAACTACTTGTAAAGATAAGTTATTTTTAAGACTATCAAGAGCATTTTCAACAGTCGAAAGCCTGTCTTCCAAATTTTCCTGATCTTCCACTGAAGATACGTTGTTATCTTTCAAATTTTTCTGATCTTCTATTATAGATAAGTTGTTTCTAAAACCATTAAGAGCATTTTCAATAGTTGACAGCCTATCTTCCAAAATTTCTTGATTTTCTAACATTTATACGTTATTTTTAAGACCGTCAAGAACATTTACAACAGTTGCGAGCTTATCTTTTAATTTTTTTTGATTTTCTAGTATGGATACGTTGTGTCTAAGACTATTAAGAGCATTTTCGACAGTTGATAGCCTTTCTTCCAAATTTTCTAACGTTATTTTTAAGACCATCAAGAGTTCTTTCAACATTTGACATCCTATCTTTCAAATTTTCTTGATCTTTCGATGATGACATATTATTTGTAACACCTTCAAGAGTAATTGTCGATAGCCTATGGTCCAATTTTTCTTGATCTTCTAACATAAATACGTTGTTTTGAAAAACATCGAGAGCCTCTTCAAGAGATGTAAGACGGTTTTTCAAATTTTCTTGATCTTCTAGTAAAGATAAGTTCTATCTAAGACTATCAAAAGCATCTTCAACAGTTGATAGCCTATCTTCTAAATTTTCTTGATCTTCTAATATAGGTACGTTATTATTAAGACCATCAAGAGCATTTTCTACCACTGATAGCCTATCTTCCAAATTTTCTTCATCTTCTAACATAGATACGTTATTTTTAAGACCGTCAAGAGCATTTACAATAGTAGCGAGCTTATCATCCAAATTCATTTGATTTTCTAGTAAGGATACGTTATTTCTAAGATTATAAAGAACATTTTCAATAGTTGATAGTCTATCTTTCAAACTTTCCTGACCTAACATAGATACGTTATTTTTAAGGCCGTCCAAAGCCTTTTCAACAGTAGATAGCCTTTCCCACAATTTTTCTTGATCTAGGACAGTTAAGTTTTTTTTAAAGGCTGTCAAGTACATTTTCCACTATTAAGAGTCTATCATCCAAATGTTATTGATCGATAAGCAAGAATATAATCTGTTTAAGACTGGCTAGTGCATTTTCAACAGTGAAGAGCTTATCGTTTGAATTTTCTTGATCTTCTATCAAAGATATGTTGTTTTTTATACTGTCAAGAGCATTTTCAACAGTCTATCCTCTAAATTTTCCTGATTTTCTAAAACAGATACGTTGTTTTTAAAAGATCGTCAAGAGTATTGTCTACAGTTAAACACATATCCTCTAAATTTAGTGGAAAATCTAAAACGGATACGTTGTTTTTAAGAATGTCAAAAGCAGTTTCGATAGTGGAGAGCCTATCCTATAATTTTTCTTGACCTAAAACAATAAGTTTTTAGACACATCAAGGCTATTTTCCACAACTGAAATCTTGCCAAATCTTGATAATCTTCTAGAACAGATACGTTGTTTTTTAAGTTTTAAAAGCTTGTCTTTCAAATTTTTATGTTTTTCTAGTACTGCTGATAGTCTATCCTCCAAATTTTCGTATTCTTCTGGAATAGTTGCGTTGTTTTTCAGACCGTCTACAGCTTTTTCAAGTAATGACAGCTTATACGTTATTTCTAAGATCGTCTAGAACATTTTCAACAGTTAAAAGTTTATCTTCGCAATTTTTAATTTTGTCAGATTCTGACGAATTATTTTTAAGTTTTAACTTTTCAATATTCAAAACCCAAACAGTTCCGTTAATTTTAAGATCTTCTACTGTGTGTTTAAGATCTAAAAGCCTGCTGTCCATATTTTCACATTCTTCTAGGACGGTCACGTTTTTTTAAATCGTCTACCACCTTTTCAAGATCCGAAAGCCTGACTTCCATATTTATGTGTTCTACTGGATCAGTTGCATTGCTTTGAAGACTTTCTACTGCTTGTTCTAGATTTGATAACTTGTCGTCCATGTTTTCATATTGTTTTGGAACTGACACATTATTTTTAAGATCCTCTAAAGTCTTCTCAAGATCTGAAAATCTGCTTTTCATATCTTCAATTTCTTCTAAATCAGTTGCATTGTTTTTAAACCTTTCTACCGCTTGTTCAAGATCCGTTGTTGATTTTAAGATATTCTACGACCTTCTCAAGATTTCAATTTTCGTGTTCTTCTGGATCAGTTGCGTTATTTTACTGTTGTTTAAGATATAAAAGCCTGCTATTAAAATCGTCATATTACTCTGAAACTGACACATTATTTTTAAGATTTTCAACGACCTCCTCAAGATCTGCAAGCCTGCTTTTCATATTTCCGTGTGCTACTGGAGTAGTTGCATTGCAAATTTTCTTGTTGTTCTAATATTGATATATTATTCTTAAGGCCAACCAAAGAGTTCTCAACCACTGAAAGCCTGTCTTTCAAATTATTGTGTTCTTCTGGATCAGATAAGTTATTTTTAAGATCTACTGCTTGTTCAAGATTTGATAGCCTGCTCTCTAAATTTTCATATTGTTCTGGAAGTGACACATTGTTTTTAAGTTCATCTACGACCTTCTCAAGATCTGAAAGTCGGCCTTTCATATTTCCATCCAAATTTTCATGGTGTTCTGGAACGGACACATTTTTGGATATACCACCTTGTAAATAAAAAGCATAGAAAGCAATAAAGGTATTGTCTAAACAGAAACATAATTGTCGAAGAAAGAAACAAACATTTTTATTATTATGGACCAAATTGTGTGTAGTTCAACAATACCAGATGAAATTATTTGTTTTCGGGTTTTTATTTCCTGACACTTATCTAATGTGCTTTTAAATAAATGTAATGCCGTTAATCCAAGTAATGAGTGGCAGCTGCTTGCTTTATAACCATAGGATATCAAAAAGGAAAACCATCCGGCTGCAAATTAAAACAAGTTTAACATTTCGTTTAATTGTATTTACCAGTTTCAAAAGAAGTAACCGCTTTTATTATGTATTTAAATCATAACTAAAATTACAAGTAAGTTTCAATTTATCGAACAGTATGAGGTATGGCTATAGGTATGCCACCAGGGTTGTTACAGGCTAGACAGTTATGTAAAATGTTGCACAAATTTATTGGCAATAGTTTGTTGCATTGTCATTTTTTTTTTCTATCTATAATTTTATGTTTTCAGTTTTTTATTTTTAGTTTTATACACAATTTCATTTACGCATTTCCACAAATTAGAAGAACTTTCATTATTTTTCAAAATTTCAGTTTGGTAGTATTTTTGTTTGGTAGTTTTTATTAAGCTATTTAAATAGTTTCTACCTATATCTTTTGTAAATATTTATATTATTTTATATTATTAAAGCAATACATTTTTTAACAAGAAAGAACCAATTTGAAAGTCCTTCGCACTGAATTCACTTGAAGGGTCAATTTGTTTTGGTAAATCGAGCCCGTCGTTTCTTGCCTATAAAAACAAAACCGGTCAGCGTTGTTTAATTTTCGACAAATGAGGTTGGACATCTTCGTGTAGAAGAATTAATCGCGGCCAGTTTTCTGGAGTGGCACACTGCGTTCTAACAACAGGTTAATGTTGCGTGAAGCAATATTCACTTGTTTCATTTGTCCCTCTTCCATCTGCTACTAACTCTTATTATATGTTTTTGTTCGGGCTTTGCGCTATACCCCATTATTGGCAACGGTATACATAAAAGGGGATTTGCGGTAATTAATACCCTTTGGGTGTCGAGAAAAAACAATATAAAATTAAGTTGGCATGTAACTACATATGTAAAATTAGATACAGGGTATTAAAAAAAGTATAAGACCCATAATCAGTCTCCTAAAGGCAAAAAACAGGGTTACCAGGTGTACCATATGGAAGTATATGTACACCATGTACACTTCTAATTTTCATACCTATCTATCTCACTGTAATTACAATAAATCATAAATAGACATAAGAACATTATTAGGAAGACAATGTTAGTTCTATGCAAAGAAATTCTAAAAATTAATGAAAAAAAAAAAATAATAATTTTTCAATTATAAATAATAATATTCGCAGTGTAGGGAAAAACTTGGACGAATTTAAAATATTTTTACAACATCTAGATAGTGATATAGATTGTATAGTACTAACTGAAACTAGACGGTTACTAGATACAGATATTTTTAACCTCCCAGGGTATAAACAGGAGCGGTTTCTCCATTGGTTCATTTGTGCAGTGAAGAACCAGTTAAATTTCATAAAAACACATTATTTTAATATTATATAAACAACATCAAAATATAAATTTAATTTTAATATTTTTATTTTCATACGTGTTAATCTATATTTTTTTGTACATCATAGTCCTGCGGCCGATCGCGTCTCTGTGTCAAAGTATACCTAAGTATACTGTGTTTGTGGCGCATTATGATAAGTGAGCCTAACACGAGTAAGAAGATATACCGAATGCATATAGCTAAAAAGAGAAGACAACACACCAACAGATCCTTCAAACTGTCAAAGAAGACATTAATTGGCGCGCCGCTCACAAACAAGGTTGCCAGTCTAGTACAATTCACAATTGTACTAGAATGTAGTACTTTCTGCGTGCATCAGTGTTGTTCACGTGTAAACTACTACTATCAATAAAGACCCCTTTTTTCTTCTTCAATGAATTTAGATGTCACTGCAAATAGAATTCGAAAAATACGGTACATTTAAGGAATCTGGTACATTTTTTAGACAAATCTGGTACATAACAAAAACATATTCTGGCAACACTGTACCAAATCAAGCAAACTGTCACTGTAATTAGTGTCATTCCTCTGCTATTAAATACTTTAAATAAAAACATAAGATTATTTTAATTGTGTTTATTTAAAAAAATGTGTTTAATTAAGAACTGTGTCTTCAATAAATTGAAAGTATGTGTGCTAATTCAATGATTGTTCCCGAAAAACTTCTATAAGGCAAGGTAAATTAAAATTTTTAAAGTTATGTTGATTTTTTTTACCTATCATAAAGTTTTACAACTAAAATTTGTTTTATATTTTGTTTCAATGTGCTACGTTGCTCCAAGGTTTGGGGTTGTAATGCAGCTCTTCTCACTTGAGATAAGGGTGACTAGCTCAATTAATTTTATTTACAATAATCGGAGAAATAGGGTTGTGGAAAGATAAACAAAAGTATGGTTTAACCTTTTAATACTCAAGCAACTGGTCAGTTGTCTAATTAGCAAAGTGGAACAATCCAGCAAATGTATTATAATATTAAAATGACTTCGTTGCCCGTTTGGTACGAATCGTTCACAAGGTAAGTACGAAGTGCATAAGAGCATAAATTTAATAATACTGAAAATATACCTAAATCTTATTATACTATATACAATAAACTTACGTTATTTATCTAATATATATTTTATTTTAAGCTCTATGAGAAACTAAATAAGCTATGCCAGAACAGCCAACAAAAGTAAGGGTAGATAAAATGCAATACCCACTTAGATTTTCTAAACTAAAACTATTCTATAGTTAGAATACGAAACAGCTTTTAATGTAATAAGGTAATAATACTGAAGGCTATGATTTATATACAAGATGATACTATGACAATGATGTTATTAAATATATGTACAGAAAGGTGATGCACGGTAATGTTTTTAGCAAATATATATGCAACAAAGCTAAGCGTGGCTAAAATAGAGCTCAGGCAATGAAATAGGCAATGGAACGTTCTTATTTGTTCTGTGGTTTCCTGATGATCTACCATCCAGGGGTTGTTCTCGTCAGAGTTATCGATCGGTTACTAAGGGCTGGGCCAACAAGCTAAGCAGGAAGCAGTGAACTCTAGTACGGGTTACTTCCTCTACTGGAAACCGCTAAGTCAAGCACTGACGATAATGTGTCCAAATTAAATAATAGCTACTAAATAATACAGGACTGGCACAAGAAGCTCTACAGAATGGATACAAACAAGAAGGCCGTAGATGTTAGGTGGCCTTTGGAAGAAAAGTATTATTTTCACAAGGTGCTGTCAATAATGACAAATATACTTTAAAGGTAAACTTTCTCTTTATATTATTAGCCAAATAATCCGAATAAAATTCGTGAATTTTCAAGTACCACATGGATCAAAGAAAGCTAATTGAAAAAGGACATAAGAGGAAGTTCTTCAGCCAGAGAGACAATCTAGGGTTGCCAACAAATTACCATATTTTAGGATCTTGGCCTAGAACTTAAATTTAAATAAATGAAAGTGAATGTAGATTTTAGCAGAGAAGAAGTAATTTGGAATTTGAACAATTGCAATTAGATTCATAAAAGAGAAGAAGGAAGGTCAAGGTCGACAATTTAAGTCAAACTGTTTGTTTACATTCAGGTACAAGTTATAGAAAAATAATATACATAATTTGAACAATCTTGTGTTTTCTTTTATCGACAGGTAAGCTTATTATTAAATTATTTAAATTTTATATAAATATTTCAATAATAAAATGCGAATCGTAACAAGTGTCTAAGACCATCCAAAGACTACTTCAAAATGGCACTTAACAAGTCACATCCCACATATCTACATGATCTGGCTAATAAATCCCATAAGTACATATCAAAACATTAATATACTATCTACAATTAAACAATAATTTAAAAATACAGATGAAGCCGATTTACCTATTTAGACAAAATACTATTATTCTGTTATTTATTAAAACACATTATTTTTTAGTGAACATGGACATGCAAAAGTCTGCTATAAGGGTATAGGACAGAGTGAGACCAAGAATACTTTGGAATGTGCTGTGAAATACACTTAGAAAGGGTAATATGGAGAATTAAGTGTGATAACATTTAACGATATGTATCTCACTAGTTTAGTTCACACATTTATGTAAATGTTCAATTATGTGCTGCTATTTCAAATTTTTAGTATTCTTTGATAAAAGAAGTTGAATATTATTGTTAACCTTTTTAAATTGTTTATTTTACCTTATACATTTTTTTTCTACTCTTCATACAGTATTATGTGAAGAGTATTATAGGTTTACTTGGTCTATCTGTCCGATGTCACGTTTTTTGTCTGCACGATAAGTCAAAAACGATAAATGATATAAACTTGAAAATTTTAAACAAAAATCAAGCTCTATAAGGGGACAGAGCCTATTGATTTTCAACAAATCTGATTAAAAATAGATGGTTAAGATGGGTTGAAATTAAAAAAATCCTAAATTAAAAACAAAAAGCGATATCAATATGAAATTTTTGATAAAAATGAAGCTTTATAAGAAGATAAAGCCTATTGATACTAAAAAAAATAAGAATATATTGGGGAGTTAAGGGGGGTTAAAATATAAAAAAAATCCTAACTGAAAAACTTGAAATTTTTAGTAAACATCAATCTTAAATGAGAAGCCCTTTCATTATAAAAAAAATCTGATTAAATATGGAGGAGTTAAGGGGGGTTGAAATTAAAAAAAAAATCAAAAATGAAATACGATATAAACATGAAATTTTTAGTAAAAATCAAGATCTATAAGGAGATGAGGCCTATTGATTGTGAAAACAATCTGCTTAAAAATGGGGGTTACGGGGCTCTGTTAAACTGCGAAAAGTATCATTTAAAATGCCAGGCATTATATATCTTTATTTGTGTACATAACCTGATATATATTTAAAAATAATCTCAAATTATGAAGAGAAGTCAGTTTACAAATTAATAATGTTTATAGATGGTTTTCAACGTATTAAAACAAAACAATAATCAGACTAACTAAAATATTCATTTGTTAATAGTTGTAGTGCTTGAAAACAGTATGATGTTGATAATAATAACTTAATACAAACTCAAATAATAAAAAAAAAACAGCGATATTGACTCTTGTACAAAGTTTTGATCCGAACTTACATATGATAAAATTATTGGAAAAAGTGAACACCCATTTTCAATTACCACCAGCCGCCACTGGGTATAACCATATATACAACGAGAGCGACTATAATCAAAATGATGGCGTTTTAATATATATAAAAGATAGTTTTGTTTACGATTGATTTTTTAATAGATGTACTGTTTTTATTCTACAAAAAGATATATTAAATCTTCTATAGAAAAGTTTTGTTTTGCTCATCATTCTATCATATTTCAAGGTTGTAATTTCAAATTATTATAAAATATACAGGGTGTTCCGGAAAAACGAGGAAATATAAATAGTTGATTTTTTTAAATGAAACATTCAGTAAGTAACATCAACAGCTCCTGTGAATTTCTAGAGTAACTTTCTCTTATGCTGCGAGAGTTTCCTGTAAAGTTGTGTGGGCATTTGAAATACAGGGATATTCATTGTAAACTATCCACCCTAAATTATTGTCTATATATGTTAAATATATAAAAAGGACGTCTCTCACAATGAAAACATCGTGCACACTCTCGTTTAATTCTTACCCAATTTTTATTTACCTATCATAATGTCTATAACAAAAAATTATTTTTACAGATCTTTAGACAAGAAGGTAATCTCTGTTTTATTTTTACCTATTTGAAATCAATTGTTCTTACGTTGCACATTAATTTTTGGAGTTTAGTTAGTACGGAACATTAAAACGATTATAAGACTGTACTATATGATAAAATTAAATGAAGACCCACTATGTAAGTATATATTGATGATTTCATTAGATTTTATCCGATTGAACTCATAACATTAGACTAATGAGATAAAGTTTGTTTGGTAAAGGGTCAATTACCAATTGAAAATGTTACAGATTTATTTCATTGTGTTTAAAATAGAAATGAGTCATTGAAACATACGATTTTTTTATGACAATAAGAAGATAATTGGTTTGATTGATATGAACGTAAACTTAAACGATATAGACTACTAAAGTAATAATTGTGTAGCATTTATTTTTTTTTACCTGTCTAACTTCATTGTCTATTAAAATTGCATGAGAAATCATAATAATTATTTTTTATAATTACTGAAGGGTTTAAATTTTATCGTCTAGTCTAGATCAACTAATCATTTAAATGAGGATATCGACACAAGATCAGAAAATAGATGGTTTTAAGTATTTTTAGTAATTAAAAAGAGCGACAATGAAGAGTGCATTTGGTAATTAAAATCATGGAAAAAATCCATTCTGGAATTAATGAATATCTTGATGACAATTTACAGATTAATAAAGTACATTACGGTCAAACCGCAATTTTCAGCTGAATGAAATTAAGCACCGGTAAGTAATTAATTTTAGAATACTCGTTGCGGATGATTCCTTATAGTTTTTGTGATAAGCACAAATAGTTTCAATATAATATTATTGACTATTTTTCTTTACAAAAATAGTATAGGTATGTTACTAGGAGTAGAAGGCAAACTTTATTATTGAGTCTAGACGCTTACCATAGCAGAGGCGTTAGCGAAGATATGTAAACTGGATGAATAATATAAAGTTCATTGGTAAAGAAATGCATAATAACAATAAAATTTACTCGAAACTCACTTTCCTGGAAGCACACCTGTTCTTATAAGGGACACAACTAAGGTAAGCAGGCCCCCAAAACAGGTCGCTGTAGTGGCCAAACACATATGCACCAGAAATCGGTTAAAGTGGGCCGTAAACACTTTTGAACCGTTTAAGCCTCCAGGTGTAGATTAAATATTTCTTGCCCTGCTTCAGCAGGCACAGGAGGAATTACCACAACACTAAATCCAGCGATCCCGGAGCAATCTGGAGCTGGAATATATACCAGAAGCATGAAGAAGGGCCAGAGTCACCTTTATTCCAAAAGTAGGGGAAAAGGATACCACACATCCTAAATTCTTCCGACCAATCAGCCTCACATCCTTTGTATTACAAACAATGGAGAAGGCTGTTGATAATTATATCAGAACGGAAGTTCTGGAGAGGATGCCACTCCCTCCACCACAGCCAACACGCGTATCGAACAGAAAGATCTACAGAAACTGATCTGGTACAGTTGACTGACGTAATCCAGGATGTACTGACAAACAAAGAAACGGTCGTGTGTGCCTTCCTAGACAAGTAGACATAGAAGGAGCTTTTGACGACACGCCACACGAATCTGTAAAAAGAGCACTTGCATACAGAGGAGTAGATAACATCACATCCAGATGGATGGCTCAGCTGTTATCTACGACTACTACGAGAACTGCAGAGACAGAAAGGGCAGGACACCATCCTTATCTGCACAACCAGAGGATGTCCACAAGGAGGAGTTCTATCCCCACTAATGTGGAGCCTAACCGTAGACGAACTTCTATGCAGATTGACTGACCTCGGCATATCCTGTCAAGGTTATGCCGACGACATAGTCATATTTGCTAATGGCAAGTTTAGTAATATCCTGTGTGATATAGTCCAACGAGAACTAGAACATACCAAAAGATGGTGCCGTGACTTAGTATAAACCCTACAAAAACAATACTAGTAGCCTTTTCAAGAAAAAGAAAACTTATTCTTAAAATCGTTAAATTAGACGGGATAGATATAGAATGGAAAAATGAAGTCAAATATCTGGGCTTAACCCTAGACAACAAACTTTTCTAGAACACACATGAGAAGGAAGTGGCAAATAAGGCCACAAAAGCCCTAGTGGTATGCAGAAACATTGCAGGTAAACGATGGGGATGTAACCCAAATATACTGCGATGGATGTATACTGCAATAGTGAGACTAATCATCACTTAGGGGGCTATAGCCTGGAGTAACAAAACTAGTTTAGCTACTACAAGAACTAATATCTCAAAAGTATAAAGACTTTTTTTTCATATGTCCAAAATTAAGTATTTCAAAGGCAGACCTTTTCAATTGCTGTCTTTCGGCACATATATATATTTTTTAAACTCAGAAGAAGGGACTCCAAACCTTTCAAATGTAGTAATCTTCATTGATAAAATAAAACTAATTCTATCCCACAATATACATTTTAGTGATAACTTCGACTATAGATATGTATATATTATTATGATCATTTTCAAGCCTACAATAGATGTTTGAAAGTTTCAAATTATAACATTAGCAAATAGTAAAACAAGTCCGCTATAAAATATTTAACTAAACATGTAAAAGTGACGATGATTGCTATAATTCTAATAGTGATGATGCAGCGGGCACTAAATATCGACGAAAGATGATGCCTAAAAGAGGGATTGTCCACAATCCCGACAAAAACCTCTGTTGTTGCATTCACAAGAAAAAGGAACCTTCAAGGAATGAAGGAGCTTTATATGTGGGGACAACATCTAAAAATGGCAAAAGAAGTTAAATACCTTGGAATCACTCTTGATGACAAGCTTAGCTTCTGCAGCCATATAGAAAAAACAACAGAAAAAGTTGTAGGAATACTATGGGCCTGTAGACGCATGATAGGGAACGTATGGGGGCTTAAACCAAGTATGATGCACTGACTTTACACTATGGTTGTAGTACCTGTTATAACTTACTCATCAGTCATATGGTGGCACAAGACTAAAAGCATAACAGCCAAAAGAAAATTAGACAAGGTACAAAGACTAGCCTGTCTAATAATAACAGACATTTCCAATCTCCTTTAATCCATAACTGAGGCTCTGATATACGTAACTTTTTATATACTTTATTTTTATCTATGTAAAAACAAACATGTATGATTTGTTAAATTTTACCTACACCTAGTTAAATTTAAGAAATGTCGGTAGTTCCAATTGAAATGCCCCAAAAAATCTTTAGCCAATACGGTCGATTGTATTTTTCTTTAATTATCTATCGTTGAAAAAAAAAGATAAAACACACTCCAAAGAATTATTTCAAAACCAAAACCTTTATTCTTTTATATAATGAAAGCAATTTCTGTATACCCACATATATTTCAGAAACATTAAAGCTTTTTAAACTCGAACGAAGCTGTATAGTAGAGAAAAAAGATCCCCTTGAGATTGCTCTGTAAAATAGGATACAGAAAACATTATGAAAACAATCAAGGCGGAATCAAAGAGCGACGTCGGGATTGGTCAAATGGATATTTCCGGTTATTGAATCCTGGAAACAAACGTTGATGGTAAATCACTTGAGATTTTCCTTTGTTCTCGAACGTACAAAATACCTATAAAACTGGAAAACTCTGCGAATCACTGGAATATCGTGCATGGTGTACTTAATGAGGGAAAGATTACTTTCTTATTTATTTAAAATTACCCTTTTTTTGTTTCCAATAAAATTATTGTAGAAACGTTTTAAAAATATATTGCAATTTATTCTTTGTTGTTCTGTAGAATTAAAAAAAAATGTCCAAGAGTAGAGTTTCATGAGATAAAGTTACTTTTTAAGTTTGTATATTTATGATTGAAGTTTTATTTATTTTTTGTTTATTTTGCAATATTCTACAGGATTTCCCCATTTACAGAATGATTATAAAATAGGAATTAATGAAATAGTACTTAATACTAATAATAAGGAAGAAAAGGGAAAAGTGGAGTATCCTGAAAAAAAAAACTATAATAAAAGAAAAAATAAAGAAAAAAAAAAAAAAAAGAAAAAACAAGAATACACCTACCTAAATCAATTTTAATTCCATAAATATTAAATACCCGTGGCACTTAGAGCTTTATATATGTTGGCACAATAAAAGAAGGTTTATTGTTTAGTTTCCCTGGGCTTGGATGTATCTCCATAGCGGCTATAACTGCCTCAGTGGTGACGCTAATATTTTCCTAGTAAGCACTGGGAATGTTAGCAAAGTCCACAAATGTGTGATTGGCTTCTTGAGTGATCTCCTGTTGATTTGATTTCATTGCTAGTTCCATTCTCTTTTGAACTTGGCTGCACCGTAGATACTATAGTCTATTTTTATGTATGAGAGTATAATATATATAAAATAGCATTTCTAATGCAAAACTTAGTACGGTAATTTTAAATATTTTTACAGAATAATCTAAATATTTCCTAAAATTGTAATAAATGTACCTGAGCTATTACAAGTTTTGGGTCTTTTATTGGTCCTTTATAAACATAAGCTGTACAGAACAATAGAAAAAGGTTTGGACAGGCCAGAAGGCCTGTGTATTAAAGATTACATAGCCGTATCTTAAAGATTATTTTCAATAAGTACCTATTTGCCAATTTTGTTTTATTTAAATTCCAAGAATTTCTTACAGTAATCGAATTATAAGTAGATAAATACCTTCCTAACAAATTTCACCGAAAATGCGATTATAGGTTTTCCATTTAGTAAGGAGGTCCAAGTTGTGTATTCTTAACAGTTTACTAAATGTCGTTTAGTTGCAACTTGCAAGGTGCAGTGTGAATTCTAGTGTGATCATGGAAAATTTGGAAGGGCCGCGTAAACGACAAAAAATCGGTCCATTAACAGTTAATGAAAAAACATTAATATTTAATTGTCTTAAATCATTTACAGACAAACATTTATGTAAAAGTGTTGATGACACAGTGGAATTAGTTAGTAGTA